GACAATGAATACCATTTTAGGTTAACCTATTGAATAGCTAACGAAGAACTTACTGCTTTTTTGTAATAAAATGGGGGTGAGGCTGTTGGTGCTTCAGCTTCCAAATAATGTTCTCCCTCTTTCTCTTTCTCTCTCACACACACACACACACACACCCTCCTACTGCCTCTCATGAACAGCTGCTGTAGGTCCCCCTTATCCCATGCTTGGTTTTCCTGCATTGAGAGTTCCAAGCCATCCAGAAAACCATTTGGGATTGCACAAGGTACCTAGATCTAGCTGCCCTTCTTTCTCCTTTGCTAGCATCAGTTGTGGGTATCACTTTTCTTCCTTTTGCTTTGACGTGTATTTGAATTAGTGCACTTCATTTATTTATTTTTAAAGCTTTTACATTTTTCTCTAAACAGTTTTAGTGAAACTTTTGGATAATTCCCCATTATATGAGCTTTAGCTATTAGAATTCTACAAGATTGTGAAGCTGTGGTTCACTCCCCCTGCTACTCTTCTGAGACCTTGTCTACGCGCTCGCTATTTTGTCGCCAAAACCTGCCTTTTTGGCGACAAGACAGTGAGATTGTTTATGCTATAATGTAGCTTTTGTCAGAGAAAAACACCCAGTTATGGCGACACAAACTTCCACCTCTGAGACACACTTATTTGTCTTTTCCCCTCCCTTTATTGTCGATAAAGAGCCAGTGTAGACGCTGTAGTTTGTTTTGTCAAGAGAACTGGCTTCCACCGGTATACCATAATGCCTGCCCTGATGGCTGTTCTCAGTGTTTTGTGATCTCCGCTGCCCTGTAGGCATGTGCCCCTCGCCTTTCAAAGCTCCAGAAAGTATCTGACATTTGAGTAAGCTGTTCTGTTCAAACAAAGAGAAAATCATTGGAATGCTCCTTCATGTTCTGCCCTGCTGGAAAGGGGGGAGCTGGAGAGACTGCTGGGCTGCCTTGACATTCCTCAGTATGGAGAGCTCATAAAGCAGCTCTTCTGTTCCATAACACTGTACTGTTGGATGCTTACCCACATTGCTTTGCTCTGTCTGTTGTCAGGGTGCTAGCAGTGTAGCCATGAAATGTCGACAGTGGGAGTCAGAAAAACTGGCCAGTTTTCGCCTTTGGTGACTTTTGCATGTTGACAGCACCTTTCATTGCCAAACTTTGCCAGTGTAGATATAGCCTGAGATTAAAGATTTTCTGAGGCTTGGATTCATCTTTCAGCTTGGTTAGTTTCATTGTGTGATATGTGTGTGTAGTAGTTAATCATTGGTCTTTCCTAGTTTTTTAAACAGGCCTATTTGAAGAATTGTGCATTGTCTAATTCTGAAATACCCGTGATGCATCAGCATGCCAGATACTATTTCTTGTATCCCTTGATTCCTCACTCTCTACAGTAGAGTTTTCTCTGTATATGGCTCATCTCTTGGACTTGTAGAAAAGAGAGTGTTGTTTAAGTCTTCCCCCATTCACTCCAGCAACCACTTAACCATCAGATCAGGCATCATCAGTCCTGATGCTTGCATCTGAAGCCATTTTAGGATCCTAGCTCTTCAGTCTTGCATTGATGCAGATTACCTAATTTTCTAGGATCGAAGATCTTTAAGGTAGCCAAGATATTTTGGTTTTTAGCTTAAAGTCAAGATTTGACATCTGTAGATTATCAAAGTATTGGCTTCATTTCTCCCCTTCCTCCCCCATATAAATTTGTGAAGAATTTCAGCACTCAAGCTATCGGTCCAAGGTTCGTTCTCTTTCATCAAGCATACAAGTGGATTTTGAGAAGATAACCTGCTTGATCTGCATCACTAGGAATAGTGAGCAAGCTATTGGTTTTAGTTAATTATTTTCCTTTTAGTGTGTTTCTGGAGATGAAATCCTTAATCATAAGAATGGCCACGTTGCATCAAACCAAAGGTCCATCTGTCCCAGTATCCTGTTTTACGACAGTGTCCAGTGCCCCAGAAGGAATGAACATCAAGCATGAATAATCAAGTGACTATCAGATTCCTACTGCTCATTCCCAGCTTCTGGGAAATAAAGGCTAGAGGCACTATCTCTGCCCATCTTGACTCATAGCCATTGATAGACCCATCTTCCATGAATTTATCTAGCTCTTTTTTGACCCCCATTACAGTCTTTCCCTGAGTTCTAGAGGTTCACAGTGCATTGTGAAAAAAATTGCTTTTGCTTGTTTTAATCCTACTGGCAATTAATTTCATTTAGTGACCTCTTGTTCTTATGAGAAGGAGTAAATAACACTTCCTTATTTACTTTCTCCAGGCGAGTCATGATTTTATAGACCATCATATTCTCCTTTGCTGTTTCTTTTCCAATCTCAAAGGCTCCAGTCTTAATTGCTCTTCATATGAAGGCTGTTCTATACTGCTAATAATTTTTGTTGCCCTTTTCTGAACCTTTTCCAATTACAGTTTGTGATTTGTGTGTTGTTTGGGTTTTTGGGTTTCTTTTTTTAGATGAGGACAACCATATCTGCACACAGTATTCCGAAAACAGGCGTACCATATATTTGTATAGAGGCAACAGAAAATACCATGTCTTCTTATTTATCTCTTTCTTAATGATTCTCAACATTGTTGCTACACTTCAAAGGCCAAAACGCTGTGGGGAGCATAGGACCAGCGGGGGACACAAGCAGACCCCACTGGCCCCCTGTATTCTCCATGTCATTTCAAAGTGGCAGTACCACATGGAGCATAAGGTCAGCTCAGGCTCCATGTGACGCTGCCGCTTTGAAATGCTGTGGAGTGCCTGACCTCAGGCTCCACGCAGCGCTGCTGCTTTGAAGCACCTCGTCCTCTCCCCCCTCCTTTGCTGCCTCTTTCTCATAGAGGCAGCAAGGGAGGGGGGAAGTGACTACTCGACTAACCAGTCAACTAGTCATTCACATCCCTAGTGACTTATTACTGTTTACTTGATTAATTTGTTCCAAAATCTCATTATTTTATTTTTAAAAATTACTGACTTATAGACCTGTTTTCCACAAAACTTTATGTTGTCTGTATTGGTGAGTAAGAAGCTGGCAAGTTAGGGTAAAGGCTTTTAGTTAATTCCCCAAGTTATTCATAGATATTGATGACAAGTCAAAAGATGACAAAAGGGAACATTACAACAGATTCTTTTAGAATGGATTAGATTTTGTATTCACTCGTGTTCTAGTGTAAAGACTCAGTTCATTTTACTAAATTGGACACTTTATGCCAATTGACATATTTGAGGAGGATCTGGGATTTTAATTGGCATACATCTGTGCAAAATTTACAATATTAGTACCAGAAAAGACCCGAATTCAGGGTTTTTTAATGAAAAACTAATTGCGGAGAGGCAGCAGCAGATTACACAATGCTATTTTTAATAAGTCTTAATTTTCCAAACATAAAGCCATAGTAATTATGTTGACCTCTCACACAGTATTTTGATTGTCAAATAAAGTAGGTATAGCTACCCGTTCTAGATGAAGTCTTTTGGTGTTTTTTAAGCACTTGGTTTGTCAAATATTCCCTGGGGCAGAGTATTGACACGTCGGGGTCACCAGTGTCGTACCTCGGTGTTTTCGTACCTCGCTACCTTCGGTGGTCTGGACTGTCAGTGTCAGTGTCGTCTGGTCAGGGTCATCCTGGCGCGCTCCTGACAGGACCTCTGCTCCGTCGGTGGTGATAAACTTTCGGTTGCGTGCGTAACAATCGGTACTCCTTTTATCTAGAGTGTTAGACCCTGTGCACTTGGGTCAACACGGGAGATCTTTGAGAGGCCGCGGAAACGACAGATGCAGGCAAGGTTTGAAATCAGTCGAGCAAGTTTATTGTCAAATGCGAAGCTCTACCAGTTGGTAACAGAGATCAGTACATTGTTACACCACTGGGCACTATGGCCCGCGTTGACAAAGTACCAACACCGGGCAGGTCTATTGCCATATATCAGATATTAACAGCAGTTAGTCAAAGTTAAGCTACTGTGCATTCTGTAAGTTTAGGCGCCTAGTGCCCCCCCTCTCCTCCAAGGTCGGCCGGAGAGCACCCTCTGCGGTGTCCTTTTATAGACAGGTACAAACAACTTACATCATTTCTTTACGTACCTGGTTACCACCCTCTGTTGCCTAGTTACCACCCCTCACCTTATGGAAGGGGGGCTTACTTACTATCCTTTATGCTGTCAGTTCCGACCCGGTCCTGAATCTAGGTCGGTATGTGCATTAGTTTTTAGGGAGTCTTTGTACCAAGACATTTCTTATTAAGATGTTCCATTACTCCCCTTTGGCTTACAGTCTGTACCCAGTGCCTCCCTGTGTCCTTCCATGTTCGACCTAACTTACACAATCACACAATTATCAATAGGGCTTCTTTCTTGGCTCCTGTTACTGAACCAAAGTCTTGCTCACTAGATTGCAAGGCCTGTTGCTGTTTTCATGTTACAGGCCTCTATTTAGGGCTGCTGACTCCATGTTACTGACCCTCAACTTACTACAAAACTCTCTATCTTAAATGTTCATCTTTTCTGATATGGGGGAACAAGGTAGTGTCTTCCTTGGAACCTTCTTGCTTACAGCATCTTTGGGCTTTTACAATGTTAATTGAGGTGAAAAGGAGCATATATTTCCCAATACTTAATACCCCCTTTTCAAAAAAGTCACGTCTCCTAGAAAAATGTAGTTAGTGTTGGTGGAACATTGATGTATAGCCTGAAAAGCTAGAATTGTGAAGAATGAATAGGTGGGTCCTATAATAAATAGGATATTTTTCACAGTCTCTTGAGAGGAAACAATTGAAAAACAGTGATTTTGAGGTATTTTGTACATACTGAATTATGGACTTTTTAACTAAGTGTAATTTCTAGCTGAAGTCTATACTATACATCCTTCCCTTACAGACACTAGTTTGATTTAATATGCAAGTCTGTTTTCTTCTAATTCTCTGTGTGCTAAAAAAGTTCTCCACAGCAGGTTTCACAGGAAGTGAATGTTTGCATTGAGTAGCTACTGAACAGCATGTTCTGATTTTCATTTCATGCACCCAGATGGCCAGCCCCAACGCCTTCAACAACCTCCAGAACTGAGACAGCAGCCAATGCGGAAGGTCACATTGACAAAGGGACCACTCCAGCAGCATCAGCAACAGCAGCAGCAGGCACAGATACAGTCAACAGTTCCACAAGGAGTCAAAAACATCCAGGGGATTCATCAAGCTAAAAAGGTGATTTTTAGATGCATTTTTGCTGATGGGATCTTTATCTGCTAAATGTGTTTCTGTATTAATGTTAGCATTGTGTACAAAAATCACCAGAAACCTTCCCACCACTAAAGTCATTTTAAACTGTAATTTCTCATGTAAAATTATTAACACAGGGCTGAATGACTCAGGAGATTGATATGGGGATATAAAGCTATTATTTTACAGGTTTAAATCTAGCACAGGTTGGTAATACCTAAAAGTTATTCCCATTTTGGGGTGCCAACTTTCTGATTGCAGAAGACCAAACACCCCTGTGCCTGTTCTGCCCCTTCTCTGAGGTCTCGCCCCTGCTGACTCCATCTCCTCTCCCTCTGTCACTCGCTCTACGTCACTTATTTTCACTACACTGGGGCAGGAGATTAAGGCTCTGGCTGGGGGTGCAGACTCTGGGATGGGACTATGGAGTGTGTAGGCAGCGGGGATCTGGGCTAGGGTTGGGGTCGAAGAGGGGGGTGTGGGCTCTGGGATGGGGCTGAAGAGTAAGGAAGGGGGGCAGGCTCCAGCTGGGAGTTGTGGGCTCTGAGGTAGGTCTTGGGATGAGGGGATTAGAGTTCAGGGGAATGTTCCAGGCTGTGTCCAAGAGGTTCATAGTTAAGAAGGGGGCTCTGGGCTGGGACAGGGAATTTGAGCTCTGGGGTGTGACTGGAAATGAGAGTTCAGGGTGCAGGAGGGGACTTTGAGCTGGAGCGGGGGTTAATTTATGGGGAGGGGACGTGGGACATTAATGTAAAGATAGTTAATTTTAGTAGTTGTAAGTATGGTTCTAACACTGACTTGAGATCTTATGCACTGTACATCAAATTACACTTGAAATGTATAGCAAGAGCCCCAGAACAATGCAGTTTCCTATTCCTTAAAACTTTCATGCCTTGGTTCAGTCCAGTGCAATAAGTAGTGTTTTTATTTCTTTGATGTACAATTTTTATGGTGTCCCCAAAATAAATAGTGATTGACTATATCTATCCCAATCTGACAGTAACCCCAGTGGACCTCAACATAACATCCAGACTACAGTCAATGTGAAGGACATTGTCTTGCCATTTCTCCCAAAATAATGAACAGTGAAATAGTTAATATGTTTACATTTTGAGGGAAGGTCCTCATTTAGTTTCCAAGATCTCTCCCCAGTGAGATGACCAGTGCCCATGCACAACTGTCATAGCTATTGTTTCAAATTGGCTGTAGAATTCAGACAGCTGTTAAGGCTTTAGTTACATCTAGTTTACGTTTTGAAAATTGTCTTTGCAAATCATAAGAGCCTGAAGACCTGTGTTTAGTTTGTTCGTTTACTGTAATGGAAGCTTAGATTCTGAAACAGAATTCTGCAGCAGATACGAATTTTGTGGCATTTATGCAGCTTTGAACTTGCATTATGCATGAATTACTGCATTAAATCTTAATCGGTGTTGCTATTCATACTATAAGATACCTATGCGAGCTAGCTTGTATGTCCAGAGGCCCCTTCAATAATGCATTGGTTTTATAAATGTGTGAAAGTTGATGATCTCTTTTCTCTAAAAATTGCTTGCCATTTTTATTATGGAGATGGTATTAATAAACTGGTTACTAGGGTTAAAAGCATGATGGTGATTTTCCCTTGGAGTCATAAGTTGTTTTTCCACTTCATTTGCTTCCAAAAAGCTGCTATGGGATAGTATGGGGGCTAGTGAATTCTGTGTTACTGGGAGATTTTGTTTGGGATATGAAATTAATTTGTAGTGCTCAAGTTACTCAGACTGCTGCTGCTCAGACTGGGGCTTTTCCTCAAGTTCTTTCCAGCTCTTGGAT